ACTGTTGTTATTTATTATGACTGTTGTTATTTATTATAACTGTTGTTATTTATTATGACTGTTGTTATTTATTATAACTGTTGTTATTTATTATAACTGTTGTTATTTATTATAACTGTTGTCATTTATTATAACTGTTGTTATTTATTATAACTGTTGTTATTTATTATAACTGTTGTTATTTATTAGAATTGTTATTTATTATAACTGTTGTTATTTATTATGACTGTTGCTATTTATTATAACTGTTGTTATTTATTATGACTGTTGTTATTTATTATGACTGTTGTTATTTATTATAACTGTTGTTATTTATTATGACTGTTGTTATTTATTATAACTGTTGTTATTTATTATAACTGTTGTTATTTATTATGACTGTTGTTATTTATTATGACTGTTGTTATTTATGATAACTGTTGTTATTTATTATAACTTGTTATTTATTATGACTGTTGTTATTTATTATAACTGTTGTTATTTATTATGACTGTTGTTATTTATTATGACTGTTGTTATTTATTATGACTGTTGTTATTTATTATAACTGTTGTTATTTATTATGACTGTTGTTATTTATTAGAACTGTTGTTATTTATTATAACTGTTGTTATTTATTATGACTGTTGTTATTTATTAGAATTGTTGTTATTTATTATAACTGTTGTTATTTATTATAACTGTTGTTAGAGCAGAAAAACTTGGGACTGCAGCCGCCTGGAATGAGTGTTTCACACCTCTGTGGGGGTTTCCCTTGAAGCTCTCCCCTCTGAGACCTGGATTCAGAAACCTTCAGTTTCAGAGAATGAGGCTGTTGTCTGTAAAAGAATGAACGTCTCACGTCGTGTAAACGGGGCCTCTGACTGGCTGCTCTGTCTGTCAATCAAGTGACTAATTTCATAGATGCATGATCGGCTGACGTCTGTTTTTTACGCCATGTTATCTACCCCTGAATCACACATCTGCTTGGTTAACTGGGACACCCCTCAGTTGGTGCTGGGTCTATTTTGAATCAGTGGTTCTGATGAATAAAGAGCAACACTCAGCTCCTGTGTTGGGTCAGAACGAGCACAAGAACAGAATTTATTTTTATTGTTGGAGATGATGGTTCATCACTCCACTCGTAGAGGAAATCAAGACTTCTCATTAACGTTGCTTAATTTGGACCGGGTCTACTTTTCTGTTTGACTGCTGAGCTCGATCAGGACTACTACAAGTTGACGAATCACCAAAGGCCTTCGTTTAAAACTCCTTTCAAACTTTTCTCCCTCTTCTAAGATGTTTTATGACAGAAAAGTAAAGAGTGAAAGCATCACTGCTTTGTTTTCTTCTGTAGTACCGTCATTTCCAGACTATAGATCACACCCGAATATAAGATGCGCACACACAAATATATATATATTTTTGGTACATATATAACTTTCAACTGTTCACTTTGTAACATGAGAAATTTACAGAGAAAGATTTTTTAAAACTTTTAATTAAATACGTAACGGTAACATTTACTGTACAAATATGTACAGAAAATGTTTCTTTCTGAACAGTGCTGCTTAAAAAATAAAATAAAATAGAAGAGTCTGCCAGGAAGTCGTTGATCGCTATGTTCATCTATCTCCTGCTGCAGGCGTGCAGGGGAATCCCCTCACATGCTCTGCACATGCAGGGGAATCCCCTCACATGCTCTGCACATGCAGGGG